GAATGCCTGTAGTATCAACATGACCATGCTCTCATAGAAGTCAATGCTTTCATAAAAAATAGGAAATAGTGGCCAGATCAATACTCTTGGCTATTATCTCCTCCTGGAGCTGGCTGAACACCTGCCTGCCAATGGGAAGGAATGAAGGAATTCCTTGTTTTGCTTTGCTTGTGTATGCAGCTTTTGCTTTACCCATTAACCTGTCTCTTATCTCAACCCACAATTTTTCTGATTTTTATGCTTCTGATTCTCTCCCCCATCCTACAGGAGGGGAAGTGAATGAGTCACTGTGTGGTGCTTAGTTGCTGGCTGGGGTTAAACCACAACAATCTGTAAATGTCCAGAAGCAAAAATTCTTAGTTGTGTTTCCTTTGTAACAGTGTCTTGAGCATCATCACTGAGTTCTGGATTCAGATTCCAATATCATATCAGCAAAATGATCTAAAAAAAACGTATGTCTTGGTTGTAGAACTATATGGATATAGATGGAGAAGATAGCAAAGGGATAGTAGTTATTACTGGTTTTGTCCCTGTGAGTGAAGAACTCAAGCCCTGTCTCTTGCCTTCTTCCAAAAGAGGAACAGAGAGGATACCAAAGGGCTCCAACTCTCACAGCTTGGTAGAATTGCTGGCAGCTCTCTTCTTGGCACCTGCGTGATCTGTAAGCAGTTCTACAATGCTTTGAAAACTGTTGGACCACAAAACAAAATATAATACCCCACCTTCCCCCAAACCAGGAAAAAACATTCACCAACTTGATTTTTAGCTTTCACTTAGTGCTCCCTATTGTGTGTGTTTTGATGCTAGAATAATTTGTCATTAGTCTACAAACTCTTATATATTTAAAACTCACTTGGAACTATTTCAAGCAGCAGAATGTAGATATGGCTACTCTTTGCTGGCTGCCTTGGCTAGTACTGGAAGTGAGGCTGGAAAAGTGGCAGAACACATGGATATTGGTTATTGACAGTTCTAGATTACTTTCAGCAGCTGAGAGCAATATGCACTGTTTTATTTAAATGTGTACAGCTTGTACTCACTTCAGAGTATCAAGTGCTTGACCACTGTGTCCTTAACAGACTTGCAGAAAAAATGGAAATGCTGGGGTGGTGGGGAACAACAAGAGGCAAAATAGCTCTAGGAAGAGGGAACTCTGACATAAGCAGCCTCTTGTGGTGACTGTGCATGTAACCGGCATTACTGCTGAATCACCAAGTTCTGTTTTTTTCTTGTCTGATCTTTTTTTTTTTTTTTTAACATGGCCTCCCATATTCTGTTGTGTCCATTTTATGATAAAAATAAGACTACAAAATAGAATACAAATTAAAAAATAAAACTTTCCTGTTAAATTTTTTCAGCTACTGGATTGTAGTCCCTTGAGTTTATGCAGAAAGAAGACACGAAAAAAGACTTCTGGCATTTAATTATGTGGACACCTGTTATAAACGGAATGGTTTGGAAAATAACTTCATAGTGTTGTTTGTAATGATAGGTTACTTTCAAGTCTTGATCTTCTATGTTGAGGCTAGAAGTAAAATGTAGAAAAAAATATTCATCCTAGTAAAAAAGGTAATTTTAAAAAACCCAAACCATCTGTTGAGATGTGGATGAGGAGAGGTGCTATGGTGGACCTTGTTCTCACCAACAAGGGGGAGCTGGTGGGGAATGTGAAGCTCAAGGGCAGCCTTAGATGCAGTGACCATGAAATGGTGGAGTCCAGGATCCTTAGGGCAGTGAGGAGGGTGTGCAGCAGGCTCACTACCCTGGACTTCAGGAGAGGAGAATTTGACATTTTCAGGGACCTGGTGGGTAGAGTTCTATGGGATAAAACCCTGGAGAGAAGAGGGGCCCAAGAAGGCTGGTTAATATTCAAGGATTGCCTCCTCCAAGCCCAGGAGCGTTGCATCTCAACAAAGAGGAAGTAAGACAAAAACACCAGGAGGCCTGCATGGATGGACAAGGAGCTCTTGGACAAACTCAGAGACAAAAAGGAAGCCTACAGAAGTGGAAGCAAGGACAGGCAGCCTGAGAGGAATACAGGGAAATTGTCCAAGCAGCCAGGGATCAGGTTAGAAAAGCTAAAGCCCTGGCAGAATTAAATACAGCCAGGGACATCAAGACCAACAGCAAAAGCTTTTATAGGTATGTTGGGGATAAAAGGAAGACTAGGGAAAATGTGGGCCCCCGCTGGAAGGAAATGAGAGACCTAATCACTCAGGATCTGGAGAAGGCTGAGGTATTCAGTGACTTCTTTGCCTCAGTCTTCACCAACAAGTGCTTGAGCCACACCTCCCTAAGTCACAGAAAGCAGAGGCAGAGATGGGAGAATTAAGAGCTGCCCACTGAAGGAAAAGCTGAGATTTGTGACCATCTGAGGAATCTGAAGGTGCACAAGTCTATGGGACTGGATGAGGTGCATCTGCAGGTCCTGAGAACTGTCAGATGAAGTTGCGAAGCCACTATCCATCATATTTGAGAAGTCCTGGCAGTCTGGTGAAGTTCCCGCAGACTGGAAAAAGGGGAATATAACCCACATTTTTAAAAAGGGAAGTAAGGAAGATCTGGGGAACTACAGGCTGGTCCAGTCTCGTCTCAGTGCCAGGCAAGATCATGGAGCAGATACTCCTGGAAACTGTGCTAAGGCACATGAAGAATGAGGAGGTGATTGGTGACAGACAACATGGCTTCACCAAGGGCAAATAGTGCCTGACCAATTAGATTAGATATTAGGAAGAAATTCTTCACTGTGAGGATGGTGAGACACTGGCCCAGGTTGCCCAGAGAAGTTGTGGCTGCTCCCTCCCTGGAAGTGTTCAAGACCAGGTTGGATGAGGCTTCGAGCAACATGAGCTAGTGGAAGGTGTCCCTGCTGATGGCAGGGGGGTTGGGACTGGATGAGCTTTAAGGTCGCTTCTGAACCATGCCATTCTATGATTCTGCAAGACATACATCTAAGTATCTTAAGAACTGTTGTAGCTGCTCTTCCATAGGATCTTTACTATGAAATAGGGCTTTAGAAAGATGCCACCACAGATAAAGAGATTAAGGATTTAAGTCAGTTCAGATGTTTTTGGAATAACATTAGCTTTGCTTTTGCTTCACAGGCTGACCCTCAAAAAGGTGAAGAATCAATAGATGTCTGTGCAAGCACATCTGAAGGTAAAAATAACCTCAGTATTGTGATTACTGTGGCTTAATAGGTTAGCAGACTCTTACTGCTTTCAATCTTAGCATATTCATCTGCAAAAGTTCATAAAAACATGCCTTCCTCTGAGGTGCTGAGGCTCAACTCAAACCTCAAAGAGGATTTTGAATAAAATTGTTACGAGTCTTGGTAAAGATTTGCACTCAGTTGCTTAAATGAAATATTAGGGGGTAAATTATATGCAGATCTTAGACTGCATTTATTCACTTGCTTTTCTGCCCCCCCTCCCCCCTCCCAAGACCCTAACGTAGCTCCTGTTTCCATTTGGACACGAAGCAGTCATTTGAAGCGTCCCAGGATAGGAAAAAAACCCGAGGAATCTGAGCCTGAACCTTCACGAGGAAATGAGGAAAGTACTCTTCGTGTGGCAGAAAGCAGGTAGGGGAGCCTGTATTTTGCTGATTCCTTATTTTGTTGTTTGGGCAGTTACAAACTACATCAGTGTCTCAGTGTCTGCTTGGTATTTTCTCTCCTTTCTCCCTACTTTACTTTCTCGATTTTAAAATTATTAAAAATAAAGCCTGATGTGAGAAAGAAAATTAAGACACTACCTGAAGACTGTACCAAAATGTAGTGTTTCTGAAAGCCCAGCAGATACTGGATATAACAGTAAGACAACAGTGAGGGGCTGAGAGTGTTCATTTATAGCTGAGTATGCATGAAGGTAAAAACATCTGTATTTGTACAGCTTAGTTTCTTGCAATAATATAACTGGACATGTATCTGCAATGTTATGTGTAGTCTTTGGAGGAGTGTCCCTTCCTCACCTCCTGTTATGGTGGCTATTGCAGTAAAATTAAGTCAGTGACTGTTTTCTTTGAGAGCTGTTTACTGCTTGTCAGTTAATAACAAAAGACTTACAGGGAACCACCTGTCTTCAAAGTAAAGCACTTTGTTTAGACAAATTCTGATTTAAAACCATCATATCCAAACTTACATCCTGGAAAAAAACAGTCGTCTCCAGTTTAAAGGATGTTATCCCATGTAGTAATTGTTAAATGGGGATGTGAAGAATTGTACCATTTGGGTGCCATAACAGTTCATACAAGACAGAGCCTGAAGTGCTAATTTGAACTGCCATCTAGAAAGCAGAACTCTGATGACTTAAACCAAATTTCTCATTCCTCCCTCTTCCTGTCTGTGGGTATAGATCTACACTGCTTATAGACAAACACTGCACTCCCCCAGCCCCTCATATCTCTCTCTCCCTTTCTCATTGTCTTCCAAAAATGCCCACTGCAACCCCCAAATCCTCTTTTGAAGAACTGAAGATAACCTGATTATTTTCTAGGAAATCTCTCACACTTGTTCCATTAGGTTTCTTTAAACAACATTAGTTGGTTTTTGTTCTTTTGTCACATGAAGCTGAGGTCTTCAGCTAGATACAGCCTGATTTTTGTGTTTAAACTGCTTGGTAAAACTACAGAGATAGAGCACTGCTGTCCTGCTGGTTCAGACAGGCCAAATTACATGGTTTGACAGTGCCACAGGTTGAGAAATCCTTTGCCCTGTTACTACTATTAATTAACTAGTTAGTATGTGAGAGGACTAGCCTGTAACTGAATGTCAGTATTTTGGACCTTGAAAAATTAAGTCAATTAAGTGTCACTGCTTCTTTGAACAAGATGTGTAACATGGTGTTTGTGAGCAGAGCTAAGAGGAGTCCTGATGACAACAGGGCAGGATATCAGCTTGGTTCTGTCCTTCCTTTCACATTAGCAAATGCAGCAGGGTCTTCTGTCAGGGACTTTCTCCTATGGAGTGCCTTCATCTCAAGACTGGCACGTGGGATAAAACCCTCCAATCCTGCCTTTTTTATGAGATTGTGAAGCAGCCTCCTGCAAATCTATTGCATGTACTTTTTTTCTTTGCTTGTATGTAATTTTTCCAGTTCATCTAAGTTTTATCATCTCAAAAATGAGGACTGAATGTTTGAGATAGTGTTACTGCCCATCATGTGCATCAGAGCTTCATCTTTAGCTATTTGCTAAATTAATCTCTTTCTGATGGTATCTTATTCAGCCATGATGTGTTTATTGCCTTGAATTCTTTTCCAGTCATCGTCTTTGTAATATATGTGTATTAAATGGTTATACAAACATATTTGGTTTTATAACTCCATAGTTTTTAGACTGTTTCTACAGTGGGGGTAGAAGTTGCTTCCTTTCTCACCCCTTTGTGGCTTCCAAATATGTAATGGATTACTGCTTTCTAAATTTAAAGTAATAGTCCTAAACAAATTTCTGACTTTTATAAAATGGAAGTGAGATAGGTGTCTTCATTTTATAATTGCCTAAGCAATTTTCCTAGAGGATTTTTTTTTAATGAGGAGTTAACCATTTTTAGATGTATTTAGTTTTCTGGATTCTTAGTTCCTATGGCAAGCATGTGATACAGCACTTTATAATTGGTCATGAAAGAATTTCCCTGCCGAGATCACCGAAATTATGTATTAATGTAAAAGATTAAAGGATATATCTTAATATCTGCTGCAGGCTGGAACTTCCTGCCCACACATCTGAAACCTCTGAAGACTTAGTAGAAGTACCTGAGGAGAACACTGTTAAGGAGGATGAGGTAACGACTGCTGAAAATGAGGGCCAGCCTGTATCAGAAGTGGAGCTACATGTATCGCCCACTGAGAAACAGAGTGAGAAGGAGGTGAGCTGTATGTGACAGCGATAGCAGATAATTTTGGAATAGAACTACAGTTTCTGGTAAATATAGTCCTTGCTGCCTTGATCCATGTGACTATCAAATCTCATTTTCATACCAATGTTTTGTTGATGGCATATCTGAGAAGCTGAGGCTAGTGTAGAATTAGTTTCAGGGAATATTCCATTATACTTATTTTGAGGAATAGAGTTAATAGAATTTTCAGTAAGGTGAATTTCTAGCTTGTCTACCAACCTCATTTTTTTAATTGCTTACTCCTACTCAGATATTCTGGAGAACTAGAGTAAGATCAAGACCTGATCCGGCATCTCTAATTTTTAAAAATAAAAACTTATATTTGAAGAAGCCAATAGCTAGTATGCTTCAGTGACTGTTGTTGGCTCTTTTTACTTCTCCACATAAAGCTTACCACATAAAGCTTTTATATTTAAGTCCAGCTTTTATCCACAACTTGTTAACAGCTTGAATTTAAATTTCTGAGTATCCTTTGCATCTAGCAATACCTCCAGGGTTTTTGTTCTTACTGATCGGTGAGAAAGTGGATCTTACACTGTGTTGGGTTCAAGGAATGATTGCAGCATGCATACTCGTGAGATGCATAAAAACTGGTTGGCTTGGCTCCTAATAATGGAAGCTATGGTCAGAAATTTAGTGCACGTAACAGCACCAAGCTAATACGCTGGTGAAGTTGGCTACTCTGCACTAAGCTCTGCCTTGTTAGTACACATTCCTAGGTACCTGAGCTATCTGCTTCTCACATTATGCTGCGGATTTAGATCACAGATACACCCACTACTGTTGGGGAATGACTGGGCATAATCTTGATTTAGGAATGTGATTTTTAGGAAGCTCCATCAGAAACTGTTAATGGAGAGGTAACAGAAGAGACTGGTAAGACCTCACCCGTGGCTGAAGAGGGAACAACAAATGAAGATCTAAGTGGTGAATCAAAATTGCAGCCTGAGAGTCAAGGAGAAGAACCCTTGACGCTGTTCGTTCCGTTAATCCTTGAGTCTCCAGCAAAACCTTCTGAAGACACTGTATCAGAAAAGGTGAGAGAATTTAAATGAACAATGAAGTATTTTTTCCTTCCGAATGTACATATCTTGCTGTTTTTCTTTTGTTAAGTAACAGATAAAAAGCAGCCCCTGCCATCATAGGGAATTCTTGGGAGAAGCATTAGGCCAGGTGATGTAAATCTGTAAACAGAATATATTATCATCTGTGTTTTAATATGCTGGAGTGGGGCGTATATGCATGCAAGATATGTTGCTCCAGTTTGCCTTGGCAGTAATGAAACAGCTCTTTCTCACTAAAATATTAGTTGAATATGAGTGAAAAAGCCACATCCTTATTTTTCCCAGTAATTCTGCCGTGATTAAGTGTATAAGCAATTAATGCCTGGTAAAATATCCTTCTAGAGCACAGATTTTATTGTGTTTTGTTTATAGTGCAAAAGCAGATTGTTACATGCTAGCAGAACTATAATTGTGTATGTCTAAAATAAAAAACCTTCTTCCCCCACCCCCCGTGGTTTAATTGCAGGATGTTTTTACTGTATCTGAATAATCCTTTGAATATTTTGAAAATAGGAGAGCGACTCTGGATATCTTGTGCAGTTCGCAAAATAGCCTCATGCAAAAAGGAGGAAAGGACAAAAAGGAGGAAAGGACTAGTTTGTTGACTGCACATGTAGTATTAAAAACTGATGAATGCCAAAATATCCTCCGAGGTTGCTAGCTAGGGGCAGTAGTTGTTCCGCCTGTTGTATCTTCAATTAATTGTCCCTTTGTTTACTTTGGCACCCTTCCCCTCCCGCTACAGGTTTTAAATGCAAATGATTCAGAAGTGCCGACTGAAGAAAGTACAGCGGTAGAGAAGCAGAGCACTGAAGAACAGCAAGAATCTGAACAGACCACCACTGAAAATGCAGCTGCTTTGGCGTCGAAGGAAGAGCACTCTGACAATGGCCTGCCCAACTCTATGGTAACTGAAGCAGCAGAAGAATCTGTTTCTGAAAATGTATCATCCAAAACATCTTCCTCGTTGGAAGATCAAAATGAAGAGGCGGGGCACAACTCACAGGAGGCCCCTGTTGCATTGAGTCAGAGCTCTTTGATAGTGGTTGAACTTGAGAATGTTTCTTTTCAGCAGCCTTCTGGACAGGAAGGACAGAAGAACCAGTTGGAAGAGCACTCAGAAGAGTCTGCTGAGCTGATGGATCAGTACACGCAGACGTCAGTGGAGCGGGCTGCCGACAGCAGCTCTGAGGAAGCAGAAATTGAGGTACCCATTGTAGATCGGAGAAACTTGCGAAGAAAGGCCAAAGGCTACAAAGGTCCACCCAAGAAAAAAGGAAAGACAACTTGAAAATTAAATATTGCTTGTTAATTCATCTATTTATAAGAAAGCTACTATTTTGTGTAAAACACTAGGGTGTATCTAAACCATACGGGACATAGGACACAAGTGTTTAAAATTCTGGGCTGGACTTTCTCTTGGGATTCATCTCCTTTCCTCAAGTTTTCTTGAATTTTTATCCACTAAATATTGAGCTTCATCAGAGTACGGAAGTAAACAGCCAGTCTCCTCCTTTTATAAAGGATACTTGTGGAATACAGTTGTGCTAGCAAAGGGGACAGTTTGCATATTTGAGGTGGCAGTTGTGGAAGAAAAACGCAATGTGAAATCCTGGCCCTATCAAGGTCCCTTGAATTCCCATAGACTTCCATGAGGCCAGACATCACTCTAGCAATTTTTTAATAACTTTGTTCTCTGCTGTGGAGAGAAGCAGAACAAGAAAAATCCTTCCTCACTTCTTGTTCCCTCCCCATAGATTTTTCTCAGATGAGGTTAAAAGAATCTAAGATTTTGTAATTCGGGGTCTCAAAATAAAGAAGGTATAAAAACAATATAAGCAGCATCTGATCATGAGAATCACTTGAAACAGCTGAGTCAGTAGAAACACAGTCAGTGCAGTATCTGCCATGGCACACTCTGATAATGAAGTTTTTGATGTGAAGATTAACATGGCTACACAGTAACTGTGTAGCTTCCAAAGCGAACATCTCGGTAAGTTTTTTCCAGTATTGAGTGTGGACTCCAGTACATAGATGGAATCATTTGAACTGCCTTCTTAACTGCCTGCATGTGTTGAGTGGATACTTGATTACTTATTACATTACAGGAAAAGGATATGACAACTTTTGATCTCGTTTTGGTCTGAATGGAAGTGGTCCTTTGTGTTTTCCAAATGCTTAGCTGGTTCTGTGGGATAACTATTAAAATGTTCTGTCTGCCAGATGTGTGACTCCTGTAAGCACTGGCATTTCAGGTAGTTTTGACGTTCATTAGTGTGAATATTAGTGGGTGTTTCAGCAAATGCTTGTTTGCCGAAATTCTATGCCTTTAGGAGTTAGCAGGTGATCGCTTGGCAAGTACTTCTGATTCCCACTTTCTTTTTCTAATTTGAGTGTAGTCCCTGGGATAATAGCTTCCCAGTTCATAGCTTTTCTTAAAAGCAGCAACCAAACTTTACTGTATGCAAACAGAAATAAAAACAGTTTTTTTAATGGATGCTGCCCTTCAAAGATTCTCCTAGCATACCATATATTTAACTTTGTCACACAGACAGTGAGTTACTCCTTAGTTTGCTATGCTTTCCTTCAATAAATGAAGCTCCTCTTGTAATGGATTAAAAACTCGGGAGTGAGAAAGAACAGTGGTTCCAAGAACAGGAAGTCACACCACTGTTTGTCCTGCTGTATGCCTTTTCTAAGATAAGTGAACTAGTCTCCCACAGTGTCTCAAAAATAGAGGTATCCAGAAATTGTTGTTCAGGACTTCTGAGTACAGGGTTCACTTGAATAGTTGCAATGCTGTCTTAACTTTTATCCCTCTATGAAGCTAATGTAAGAATCTGGTTTTAAATTTTATGCTCATACGATTTAACTGTATTTATAAGACATTTTAACCAGATAAGATACATTCAAACTCTTTCTTTCAGCTGATGAAGTACCATGCTCCTTTTTAATCTGTTAAGAGCAGTTTATAGGAGAAAAAAAAAATCAAGCATTTCCTATAGACCATGTGAGACAAAACTTCTGTTATGTTCTGTAAACATAGTATCTCTTTTAGTGGGGGGGGGGAAAAAATCCCTGAACAAACCAACAACAACAAAAAACAAACCACAAACAAAAAGAGTGGCTAGAAAACACATCTATTGCATTGCTAAGAATTTGGGATTTGTGAGGGCTGGTGGCATAAAAAAGTTGTATACAGTATATTGTGAGTCAGCTTCTGTTTTTAGAGCAAGCTTTACTAAAGATTAATCTGATGAATGCTTCTGTTTATGCAAATGTATCCACTTTCAAACAGTTAAAGGTTCTTTTGCTTATGAAAATTGAGTCCCAGTTACTTCAATTACTTTTAGGTGGATTTTTGATACGTATGTTTATTGCTTGTATTCCCTGTGAGGTCAGAAAGCAGCATGCATGAGAATGTAATGTCACTTTTATGGCTTTTATGTTTCATGGCTAAGATGGAACTGATTTCAATTAGTATCTTTCTTTTAAGACATACTGAATACATAAATATTACAGCAGGATTATTGGATTAAGTCAGTCTTGGTTTCCAGTGAGAACAGTCAGATTTCTAACCTCATTTCAGAGAGTCAGTTTTAAATACTAAATTTAAATTAACACCTTTAAATATGCTTTTGAGTAGATACCTCTGTAAATCTGGGGTAACTGAGATAGAAGCTGATGGCTGAACTGTTACATACAGAATATGGGCAGTTGGGGTGCAGTTAGCAATTCTGATAACCAGTTGTGGTGGGTTGACCCTGGCTGGGTGCCA